TAGATTTAATATTATTAATAAGCTTTTTAATTTATTTTATAAAATATGATGTATTAGAAGTGATGATACAGCCTATAGTTAATATATATATAAATATACAACCTCATTTTGGGCTGTTTGTCATCAGGAGATAAATTTATATTTTTTGCCAAAAGAGCATCTTCAGCATATATGCAATGACTAGTTGCATTATCAAATACAAAAAGAGCTTTTGTACCTGAAAACTAAGCTTTAAAGATTGGGATTGCATAATTAATTATCTGATCTACGAGATTATTTGAGTCCTACCACTTATTACTATCTTTACTCAGATAAGTTATAATACATGCTTCTGGTAGAAAATTAGAAAAAATGATCTAAAAAAATTTTTAATTAGGGTTCTTTAATTATAAAAAAAAATAAATTGAAATAAAGTTTAAAATTATATATATACTTTGTTTTCTTTATATAATATTAAATGTCCACCAACATCAGTGAGAAATTCACTTTTATGAACAGATCTTTCTTGATTTTTTTTGCAAAGTGGCTGCTTCCCTTTTGGCATTTTTAACCAATGTCTTTTATTATACACTGAGAAAATACACTCATCATGTATTACCAAAATTATAATATTATGAGTAGCTAGTCTAATTTTCTCTTCCATATTTTTATCAAAGAAAATTTATTATATGCTTTTTATATTTCTTCATTTTTTCTAAAAAATTTTCACAATAGGTTACTATATCTGCATGCTTATGTCCATTTATATACATATCTTTTCTAATCTCTGAATATTCAAACCCAAATGTTTTTAGCTACTTTCTAGCTATTTTTACACATATTATTGATGATAAATTGAAACAAAGTCCTAGAAATATTTTCTCATTTACGTGTTTTGTCAATTTATTTGCATTAACACATCATTTGTTTGATCAGAGAAAGGATTTAATCTGTATCAAAATGTTATCATTTCATAAGAAACTTTAGGTTTTGAGATGTTTGCCCTGTCTTGAAATCAGAATTGTTTTATTTAAAATATAATTTATTGTCTATAAACATATATATTAGACATGATAAGCACTTTTTTTAGCTGCTTCTATTATAATGATGTTTGCTTTAACTTTTTGGCAGCTATGTTCTACAAGACATAAATAAGATAATATTATATAGAGACAAACCTTCTCAACCTCACTATATTTATCATTTTTGATTTCTTTTTCAATTGTTTAATTGTATTGTTCAAAATTTCAGAAGACATTATATTATAATCTCTTATAGCCTTAATTTCAAAATTATTTTTAGAGTTACTATCTGAACCAATTGGTTTATCATTTATATTCATACCATTACTCATATGTGTATTTATTTTCTATTTAAAAAAAAAATTCTATAAATATTAAAACACAATCTACTAACTATATTATCAATAAATGACAAAAAAATAGCTACTGGTAACTAAAATAACTCTAACTTAGATGTTTCAACTGCAGCTTGTTATAATAATTGTTTTTGTCACCTTCTTGTTCTTTCTAAATTTTCAATATACACAAGTGGCCAATTATTAGTTTTTCTGAAACTGCTTGTAACAGTCTTGTAATTATGCTATTCACTTTTTCATCTTTTAAAACACTTATTTCTACATTACTACTCTTAACATCATTATGTTTATCACTGCTACTGTAAGTTCTTGAAGCTTTTTGTACTCTGAACTTCTGCAAATAAACTTTTCTTTTAGATAATCATGTCATTTTTAGTAATTATAAGTAAAGCTAATTAGGTTCTAAATATCAGCTTTTATGTAAGTACTTTTCTTATCTTTGATTAAATTGATTATATTTTGATTATATTGATTATATTTTGATTATATTTTATTTATCTTTTTTTTTTTTTTTTTTTTTTTTTTTTTTATTGCATGTTCTTCTGATACTAAATTATAAAACAAGATATGCTCTTTGCAATTTTTGGAATTTAAAAAAAAGACCTCTAATCCATCTTTATAGATTTATTACACTTTTATATAATAGTTTTATTATATTATTTTTACACAAACTATTTACAAGTGTCAAACAACATGTGAATCAATTTTTATGCATTTGATAAATCGAATGCATTAGTTTTTTTTTTATCACAAATTATATAATAAAGATAATTCTTTCATCAAGGCTTTGGCAAATATTAATCTGCTAATTTTAAATGTTCATATTATGCTATTTCAAGAAAAGTGTAATTGAATTGGCTTATTTCAGTTAATTTTATATATTTAGTTATTTTTTTCTTTACCTACCTACTCTATTTTCGCTAATTTATTTTCATTTTCTATTATATTTCAAATATGTTAAAAATGGGCTTTTATCTATATAAGCTTTAGTTTTGACTTTTCATATTCATTTATCTTGTTTACAACCACATACAACACTATGTTTTATTCTATATCTTCTTTTAACCTGGTACAAATAATATTTTTTTAATATATCTATATGTTATTTCTTTGTATTTACAACTTTGAGTTCCTCAAAATAGTTTATTTATTTTTTTGTAAAATAAATTTTTAATTTACTATTTAATTTATATAATGTCTATATATTTAATGCATTATTACAAATTTGGTAATATAATAGTGCATAAACTATAATAGGCTTTGCATAACAGTAGAGATAAAGTTCATTTATCTAACTGATATATTCTTATAACCAGCCAACCAATCATATTAAACTTCTGACTATACAGTTTTTTTCACACATTTTGGCCAATAGAAGGCTTTATTTTTAGATCACATAACTGGCCAAAATTTTAATTTTATTAATAAAATTGGTTAACTTTAAATAAATATAATTTGATTAAATTTTAATTAACTTAAAAAACCAAGCTTATAGTTTTGTTTTTTAGATTCGATTTTATTATTCTATAAAGAAATTTAATTGATATCTATTTTGGATTTTGGTTTATAAACTTTTAAAGATTATGCATTTTATATATTAATTTAAGGATTCTCACACTATAATATTTTAAAAGTAAAATTGAACTCTATATAAATCTTAATTAAATATTTAATAAAAATAGAGGCATGGCCTCATTATTAATATTAAAAAAAAAAAATTTATATAATTTATTAGTTATATAATAATAATATCTACTTAGATACAATTTTTATATTACTGTCATCAATATATATTTACTATAACTATTATTTGATAAAACTTAATACTGTTATGCTTTGATAGTTGACTTTAAAAAAGTTATAAAAATTAAAATATATAAAACTCAAATATTTAAATATTTATTATAAAAAAAAAATATAAATTTATATAACTTTTATTTTTAAAAAAGCATCATCTCTTTTTAATTAAAGATAAGAAATACATATAAGCTTTACAGAAACACTTACATTATAATTAGAACATTTACATTATTTTAGCAACATTTATATGATTAGAATAATGTATATATAATATTTATTATGTTTATATGATAAGCTATAGTAATGTTTTATCTTATAATCTTATATATATATTATTCTTGTAATAAAAATATATTTATATATATTATATATAATTAAATATATGCCTAATACTACTAAGATAAAATTAATATAATTGTAACATTATAGTTATAGTATGTAAATAAGCATCAACTTATAAATTGAACAGATATAAAATATTTAGATATGTATATATATGTAATGTATAAATTTTTGTTACATCAGTTATATAGTATACAATTATTAAATTTTATAAGCTACTGATTATATGATCTGTACTACTATCTGAACTATATAGTTTAAGTTAAGAACTGACAAAGACATGTAAGAATGGCAATTCATAGACAGAAATTTGTTTTATTAGCTAATTTTATACAAATCATTTGTAGATCATTTTTTAATACTTGTAATTTAATTAGTAGTTCATATTATATTAGTTATTTAGTTAGTAATAAGTAAATTTTTATTAAAGTCTTGATTGTTATATTTATTTGAAATTTTTACATAAAGCATAAATTTACTATTAAAAATATTATAAAAAGAGTAGAAGCTCAGACTAGTTTATTTGTAACCTAAACTAATAGAAGTGATCAAAACTTATTTAGATTTGGTTGTTAATAATTATATATAAAAGGTTAGTTTAATATTTGATTTATTGTATATATCAGAAATTAATTTTAAAGCAAAATAAATTAGAAAAAAAAGATTGAAATGAATATAAAATAAGATTAGAGAGTAAGTTAAAAGTAGAAAGATAAGTTGTTGATCTTGAAATACAGTAAGAAATTCAAATTTTATGATATATTTGTTAGTTAAGATGAAGTAAAAATTTAATAACAAGTGTTATAGCTAATTTTTTAAATAATAGATTTGAGATAATAAAGATAATTTCATGTAGCACTAAGCCTGATAAAGTTGAGAAGACTAATGATAGGTCTACTGTATTGTGTGTAGTTATACAATATAGTTGAAAATTTGGCAATATAGTTTGGTTATAGTTTCTGAAATAGTATCAAGTATATTTGTATTTAGAGTGTATTATAATGAACTATTGATAAGATTGTATAGCAGCTAGTTAGATAAACATGTTATCCAATAAAGATAAAAACTGGTTTCATAACATTAATGACAAGTTGGTGAGTATAAATAATATCATTTGTGTAGAATATATAAAGTAGGAAGGTCATTAAGTAAAATTTTAATTATAAAAGATTTAAAAGCAAAAGATTGAAAGCTAAATAAAAAGTTTAAGATTTTTTGATTATTGTTAATATATAACCAAATGGCTTGCCAATTAATTTAATTAAAAATTTTGTTTCATTTTTGAAACTGGTTTTGTGTAGTTCATAGTACATAAATGTATGTATAACAAATTGTACAAATGCTACAGCAAGTAAGTAATTTTAAAGAAAAGTTTTTAAGATTTAGAGTATAGAATAAGTTATAAATATTATAAGGCATAAAAGTTAGATATAGTAAGTTGTAATGGTTTCATGCTAGTTGATTAGCAAGATTATTGTATATATTGTCTTGGTATGTAGTAACTTTGTGAAAAATAATTAAATTTTGTATAAGTTAACAAAATTAATTAGTAAGTGAATTTTATAGTAAAAAACATAATATATATATATAAAATAAGGTTGTAAAAGAGTTTAAAATGTTTTGGTATTTAGAGATAATAGATTGAGAATCTGTATATATGTTTATAATACTATTTCTAGAAGCAGTAATGAAAGCAGATAGAATAATAGTAAGTTTAGTTTTGAATGAACAAAGCCAAAGTTTGTTTAAGCTTAAAATATATATAATATAGAGTTATTAGAAATTTGGATCTATCTAATACCCATAAAGCATTATGAAGTATTCAAATTATTAACAAAACCATCTGTATAAAAGTGAAGTTCTGATAGATTAGTGTTATAGTTAGCTATTTGTTAAAGCTTATATGTAAATAAACTAGGTTCAAAAATTACAAGAATTGGTTAAGTAGCAATAGTAATATTTGGAAGGTCTGGAATTTGAATAGAATGCTGAATTGCAATAAAGTATATAAGATCAAGATAATTAGTATTAAAATTAAGAGTTTTGTTATAAGTGTTAATTTAACCAAAAATCAAGTTAAAAAATTAGTAGAAATAACAATTATACATTTATTAGCAATTGTTTAGAAGTTAAAAGAGCAGCCA